GGAAACGACTGCAGGTTGGCCAAGAACTTATAGACTATTTCTCAGATAAACAGAAGTCTGCTGACCTTGAGCATGACCAGACCATGTTAGATAAACTTGTGGATGGACTCGCTACCTCTTGGGTGAACTCTAGCAATTACAAGGTAAGCTGTGCTTTAGAAGGTACTCTTATAGGTGGCTGGGCTGCCTTAGTGGCTTAGAATTGATCCTTAGAGCAGTCGGCTTGATTCCTTGGCTTCCAATGAGACACTTAGTCAGGTTGTGGCTTTTGGACATTTCATTCTAGAGCAAGTAGAGTTTTCTGTGATTTTTGTTGGAGATCAAAAAATTCTTATCCTTTAGCACTTTGAGAGAAGGCCAAGTGAACAGATAAAGAAAAGCTTTTGTGTTGGAAAGTTTACAAGCATTTCTAGCCTTGAAGTTAATTAAAAATGAATATCGTGTCTTGCAGCCAATGGGTTGTGAGACCTTGGTGAGTGGTCCTTCATGAATAAGAAATGTCTTCATTGATTTTCCTGGGGTTGGGGGTGGTGGGTGGTGGAATTGACAATAGGATGTGGAACATTTTACCTTTAGGTCACTGTTTTCAAGTTGGCCCAGATACCTTGTATGGATTGCCAAGGACTCTTCTGTGACCTATGTGTGATGGCCTGGAGGATATACTTCAGGTTCTAAAGATCAAGGCTTTCATGTGCCCTTGCCAGGTGCAAGGGGTTAGGCAGGGTCCCATGACCTAAATGAATTGTGCAGGTTGACCATATACTATTCAAGTGCTGACTTATGAATAAAAATTAGACTGGACTTGAAGTGCAGAAGAGGTGTTCATCTCTCTGTGCCTCTCCCCCCTCCCCACCCCCACCCCCACACTTTTCATTTGCCAAGAGGGTGGCCCCTTTGGATCCAGGTTGAGTTTCACCAATAGATGCTATAGACGTTATGAAAGGGGCTCACAGAAGCACTCTTTTATGTTTTTTTTTTAATTGACCCCGTCTTCTGAGATTGATTTGGACTCGAATTTGTTTGCTGTAGTGTAGCAAATAAGATGTAGTAAACAAATAAGACGTCTCTTATTTTCCAAATACATTAAACCTTGATCTCGTCCAAGCGTCAGGAGGCTTCATATTTATTAAGGGTGTTACCTAGGACCCTAATATTTCTGTTACAACTGGATGTAAAATTTATCCTGTCTTTAGAATCTGGGCTTAAATTCTATTTCATTCATCTGTTTATTCATTTAGCTGAAGTGTCTGGCTTTAGTGCTGGATGATGGGAGTGTTAGAGGGATGAGAGGTGATAGTCTAGTTGTTACATTTCGAGGGCTTTGAAGTCACCTTTTGTCTGTGTTTGAATCACGGCTCCACCACTCTGTGTGCATGCTTCTGGCTGAGAGTAACCGAAAACTGACACAGTCAACTTAAAGTTACTATGAAGTAATTGAGTAATTTCCTTTTAAGAATTTAAGAAGTCCACAGTAGTTAAGGCAATGTCCATGAACGAAGAATGTCTGATTCTGTCTTTACTTGAGAAAAACTTTTCTCAGAAGCTCCCTGGCAGGCTTTTGCACATCACAGAAAAAATCATTATGTGGCTTTGCATGCCTACCCTAGCATCAGTGGAAAATGGACAGGTGTCCATGATTGCTTTCGACGGTCATGCTTAACCTCCTGTTTTAGGAAGGGTTCCAGCACCTATTGAATGAAGCATGTGGCCATATGAAGGAAGGGGAAATACTTGAACAAAATCAGACTCCTATTAGGAAGGAGGAGGTTAGGGAGGGGACATGGATGTTAAATAAGTAACCTACAGAGCCTGTTATACTGCACGAGCTTTCTTAACCTCTCCAAGTTTCAGTTTTCTCATCTGTAATGTTGGGATGATTGAGTTATTGTAAACACTAAATGAGAGCGTATATAAAGTTATCACATCCCTGCCATATAATAAACGTTCATACATTAGCAATTGTTATCAGACTTGATTCCTGTCTTCAAGGGACTCATAGTCTGGGTGGGGTGTGAGTACTGACAAATAAGGAATGATTACAGTATGGTGTATAATAATAGAGATACAGAATTTGGTGAGAAGACAAGAAGAAAGTAGTAATACTGCCTAGAGGAATCCAGGATTTTGAAAATTGGTAGTTTTTTCAGAGTTTTGTTTGCAGAGTCATAAAGGGGTGGAAGATTAAGACTGACCTTTGCGAAGTAATTTTTAAGAAAGACAGCTTGGTAAGGAAAGTCAGGAACATGATGTATGCTACCAACTTGCATATAATCACGGACAAGGCACCTTTACTTGTCTGTGCAGTGCAGGTCATTGACTAAAATCTCTTGGGAGGCCTCAAGTTCTGATGTCTTGTACGACTTCTTACAGATGGTTTTGCTGTCAGGGCCATGTCCTGTGGTTCTGATCATATACAGTGCTGAGCACCCCCTTTGTTTGTAAGCTCTCTAAGTGTGGTGACAATGTGCCTTGTTCACACCTGGAGCAAATATCCTAGAACACAGTATTTTGCTCAACAAATACTGGTTACTTGAGAGAACTCAGGAACTTGGAGAGACTGCTCAGCAAGTAAGTATTCCTGGTTGCTTTACCGAATTCTGGAAACTTAACTTTTAGGGCCCTCTCATTTTTTTCTCCTCTTAGGTCAAGATTTCTCATTCAAAGCCAGAGGTATGTTTTAGGGCTTATTCGATTGACATGTTTTATATATTATGGATTGAAGAGATTTGCTTTATATTAAAGAAAACTTGGAAGCTTTGTTTCTTGAATTTTTTCTTTTTAATTAAGGACTAAAAAGATAAAAGGAGAAAAGGGAAGTAATTTTGGACTTCCAAAACAATAGTACTTGGGTATTGTTATCCCTTTTTTTAACAGGGAATGTGAATGAATGGCAGCATAATGTCTTATTTAAAAAAAAATGTTGGCTGGAGCTTGAATCTCTTTACGTTTGAGTATTTCTTAACATGGTAAACAGATTTGTATTTGGTACTGATTGCAGTTTAATAGCTACCATTTTTTTGCTTACTATATGTTAGGGGTTTTATTAGTCTTATCTCATTTACTCTTCATAAAACCCCTGCAAGGTACATGGTGGTATCCTAATTTTATACATGAAGAAACTGAAATTACCCAGAATTATGACATAATAGTGATTATGGAATTGGGATTTAAATATAGGTCTCTCTGATTTCCTAGCCAGTGCACCTTTCATAAGAACAGGGTTCAGCGAGCTTTCTTAAAGGCCATATAAAAAAAATATTAAGCTTGGTGGGCCATATAGTCTTCTTGCAAATATCCAACCATTATACTGCAAAAGCACCATGGATAATGCGTAAATGAATGGATATGGCTGTGTTCCAATGATGTTTAACTTACAGATATAGGTGAGGCTAGTTTGGCTCAAGGGCCAGTTTGCTAGCTCCCCTCTCCCCAAACTAGAACACTGAGCACCTATTATATGTAAATACTTTTTCTTCAGTTGTGGGGAACCATTCATGATTCATCTGAGGGAAGAGTCAGGTTTATAATTTGCATCTAATTTGGGAATGAGGGGAGCATTCTTTTAGGTTAAATGGAACGCAGTTTGTTTTTGGAGCATCTTGTATGCTATTTCAAGAAAACTTGCCCTTTTTAGTTCTCTCACTCAGACTTATATTGGGATCCGTATGCATTCTGTTGATCTTCCACTGATCATCTACTGTGAGCTGGCTTTGAGCTTTTTGGGTAATTGAAGTCATCTTGAAGATTGAGTAATTGGTTATTTAACTAATGCCCTCACACACGCAGAACAGGGCTACACCAGGAGGATGCTTTTTAACCCCGCAGCGGGGTGCTGGAGGGATTTAGTAAATTTTTTGCATTGTCATTATAATCATGGGAAACATGGAAGGAGATGAGAGACTTCTTGTTTATGAGCCTGCTTTTCTAGATTACTCAGACAATTAAAAATAAAAATAATAACCAAAATTTTTGAATATGGCTGTCTTCATTGATCTGGTCTTCTTTTCCTGTTTTTCTTGATTAAAATTTGAAGAGATAGATGGTGGAGTAGATTCCTGCATATACCTTCAGCGGCTTTTGTTTCTCTCCCTCTTCCCTCATCTTTAGGTGATAAGGGATGAAAGGTGACAAGGTAAGAGTGAGCCGACCTGGAGAGGCTGCCTGGGCTGTGGGTAGCTGGAGGGAATCCAGGGAGACTTAAGTGCGTCTTTCCTAGTTAATTTTGACAGCCGTTATTTGGCCAAACAGTGCAATACCATGCAACCTCACATATCCTCACAGTGCAAACACTTGCACATATAGTAGGTTCAGTGGAAATAAAACACCCTAGTGGAGTCCAGCTGCTTTTTTGTGAATAGTGTTCCACAGTGCTTTCTTTGCAGTCCAAAATCCCCGAAGCTCTGAAAACCTAGGGTTTTTTCACTTACTATTTGACCTGAAGTGAACTGACGTGCAACTACTTATAGTCTTTGTTTACTTGTTTAGGTCAAGTTTCACTGCAGAAGTATTAATATAGTTGATCGTGGGTTGCTGTCCCAGATTCCGTTCAAGGGGATATATGTACATATGTTTATTTCTAACTGTGCACTCTTTTTATAAAACCTGAAAAATTCTGTATTCCAGAACACGCCTTCAGCGTTTTGGTTAAGTACGTGTGGACCTGTATGTAATATTGTAGGGGAATAACAGTAGCCCAAATGGTTATGGGACATTTACTGTGTACTGGAAAACATGCTAAATGTATTCATTTTCAACTTATAATTACCATGTGAGGTAGATACTGTTATCCTTATTTTACGGATGAGACTGATGCTCAAATCAATCAAGTAGCTAGTAATTAAGGTTTTTTGGACTTGAACCCAGGTGTTTATGCAGCCAAAGTTAATTCAGCTCTTATGATGTGGCAGATACTATACTGGGGTCTGCTCTAACAGTGTCTGGTCACTGCCCAGGTAGTCTGGCCCTCTCTAAATCTAATATGTGTGAACTTTGTCCCTGTGCCTTATTGTCTCAAGGCCCACACTGAACTGCCTTGAATTTGAAATTTGTAGTTTCCCTTTTAACCTAGGGCTTCCTTTGTCTATGCCTTTATGGACTTTATGGTCTAATGGGAGGGACAGGAAAGGCAGGTGAAAAGACAGCG